TCACACACGATTAGGATAGGAAGAACCATGTTGGCAGCGCTGGAGCCATCATCCACACTGTCACTACCATAAACATAAACTAACCTCACTTCTTTCCATGTCCATGACCACAGTTCAGTTATAGTTTAGTGCCAAACGACCTGTTGTTTTGTGATCAATAGTGTTTAGTGATAGTGATGGAGGCCTAAGGAAGGCAGCGGTAGTTTTTTGAAGATTGAAAGAGCTAAGTAGAAATTATTAATAGTTATACTTAATTGATTGAGTTAGTTAGTTGGTATTTTTGAGTCAATAAGTTACGTCTGTAGTTTTAGTATAGGCTAACCTAATCAACCCGAAAACTAAGTAAACTAACCATAGGTAAAGTGACTCGGACAACTTTAGTTATAGTTACTTATTATTAGTCTTAATAAGTTATTACGGGTAAATTTGCCGTGGGTCGAAGGCCTAAATCTAAATAATAATGGACGGCGGAATTTCGTTGTCGTCGACGGCTAACGTCACTAATGAAGTTAGCCTGATTATCAATGAAGGGATCAAAAATATTGACCACAGAATTTCTTTGAAAAAATTAGGACCTCCTAGACCTTTCATGAACATAAACCAAATTCAAAACAGTTCAAAGAATAAGAATAGCTTCACACGAAAATTTTCGCCACATATGTACAATCATGCAGATTGGCTATGTGGCTGTTCAATTAAAAATTCATTTTTCTGCTACACTTGTTTGGTCATGGGGGTTCAAGATAGAGCATGGACTGTAGACGGGATTTCAGACCTTAAACATCTACTGGAAAAAGTAAAAAAACACAAAACAAGTGAAAAGCACATAAATGCGTCAATAGAATATGCTGTTTTAGGTAAAGTTGATATTAGATGCCAATTGGACAATGCATATAGGTTAAAAATACAAAAACAAAATGAAGATGTTTCGAAAACTCGATACATTCTAAGTAAGCTAATTGATGCAATTAAATTTTGTGGAGCGTTTGAATTAGCATTACGAGGACATGATGAACGCGAAAATTCAAAAAATCCTGGCATATTTCGTGGTTTGGTTAACCTTATGGCGGAGCTGGATGTAACATTGCAACAGCACATAAATCAAACAAATAACCGAGTGTTTTTGGGTCTGTCTAAAACCATACAGAACGAGTTATTGGACTCAATATATTACGTTTGTCTGCAAATGATTCGTGACGAATTGACACAAACCGACTATGTTGCTATTGAAGCCGACGAAACAACAGACTGTGCCACTTTATCCCAACTAGTATTTGTTATTAGGTACGAGCTGAATGGCACGATTCACGAGCGATTTATCACTTTTATTAGACCAAAAGGCCATGATGCAGAATCAGTTAGCGAAACAATTTTTGAAGTATTAGAGCAATTAAACCTCGACAAAACTCCTGATAAAGTCATTGCCCAGAGCTACGATGGGGCTTCCGTAATGAGTGGCCAACACACGGGAGTACAAGCGCGTGTAAAATCTAAATATAAGAATGCAAATTTTGTCCACTGTTACGCACATCAATTAAACTTAATCATTGAACGCAGTGCTACACAAAATAAGCAGGTTAAGATATTCTTCAGTAATATCGAGGGGTTTTCATCATTCTTTTCCCAGTCAACAAAGAGAACTGCAGTTCTCGATGAGATAGTAAAACGTCGTATTCCAAAAAGCTCAGGTACTCGGTGGAATTTTAAATCCAGAATTGTAAGCACAATTTTTAATTATCAAAGAGAGTTGGAGGAATGTTTAAGTTACATACTCGACGATGACACCAATGACTATGCCACAATAAATAAAGCTGTTGGCCTAAGAAGTATTCTAAAAGACGAAGACTTTATTTTCTGGCTGGACTTTTTCAATCAAATACTGCCCCACAGTGACATTCTGTACAACCAACTGCAGCAAACAACAATTGATTGCGTCAAGGCGTTTAAGTTTGTAGGCGATTTCAAAACTGTGGTAGATCGCGTAAGAAACTCGACCATGTTAGATCAACCGAGAGATAGTGAACCCGAATCGAGCAAAAAGCGGAGAAGATACGACGATCAAAAACGCGTTGTCGCAAAGGAAGTGTGTGACATAATTACGTCGGGAATTGATGACCGTTTTACGTTTGTAAATCATTTGTCCGCGGCAAAACTGTTTCAGCCAAGTTTGTTTGGGGAGTTTAAAACCAAGTTTCCCGAAAAAGAGTTACACGCTGCTGCGGAACTATTTAGCCTAAATAAAACTGAATTGAAACAGGAGTTAAATGTTATTTACAATAGGGATGATTTTTCAACGGCCACAGGGTCATTAAGACTACTCAACTTTGTCTATGACAACAACCTCAAAGATGTGCTTCCAGAGTCAATCAAACTTTTAAAAATCATAAGCACAATACCTATGACTACTTCGGAAAGTGAACATTGTTTCTCTACTTTGAAACGAATTAAAACGTTTACCAGGAGTACCATGAAACAAGACAGACTAAGTGCGCTTGCTATGTGTTCTATCGAAAAAAAGCTGTTGTCAACTTTAAACTTCAACGAAAAAGTAATAGATCACTTCGCCGGGCAGAAAGAAAGGAGGATGGATTTCACATTCAAACAGTACAATTAAAGTTAGGCCTTACCCTCATGGTATGGTTTTCTAATCACTATTGCCGTGGATGTTTTAATATAAAATACAATTAGTCAAGCCTTACCCTCATGGTTTGGTTTTCTATTCGTTATTGCCGTGGGTGTTTAAATTATACAATTCAATCATTGTCAGGCCTTACCGTTTGGTTATCTACTCATTATTGCCGTGGATTTTTTACTATTAAATTATCAATTGTTAGTTATATTTTCAATACAGTGTAGTCCCGTTTTACAAGGCCGTAGGCAGGGAGGGGGGTTAGAGAGTCAAACCCCTCCCCCAAAATTCCGAAATTGAGCAGTACAAATTAAAACTAGGTTTAAAAAGTTGAATTATGAAATAGAAACCACAATAGAGGATTAATTGTTATGTTTTGCAATATCTATTCATATTTAATATAGGCCTAGTTCTATTGGGATAATAAATCTGATCTATTAAATAAATTGGTAAAAACTATTTAAAAAATATACTTTACTTTATTCTACTTATGTCTATTTGCTCATGCATGACAAACAACAGGTGAAATGGGAGTTTTTGGACTATTATTGGACACAGTTTTAGGCGTTAAAATTGCTTTAAAAAGTCACCAAACGGCTTTAAAAATTTAAAAATTTTTCCGGACCCCCCTCTTATGATGGGGGGTGCTCCACACCCCCCAAACCCCCCGGAGTCCCCCCCTAGACAAGGTCCTAGAGCCGCCACTGAGAACTTGGTGACGTATTAACAACCCGAGTTATAAATCTTTTAATAAAAATATATTTATAAAAAGTTAAATTTAACATTGTTCTGAGGTTCGTAGCTGGTCTTTAACACGTTCGCTACTGCAATAGTACGAAATTTTCCATTCACATGGACCAGCGACGCACATATGCGACGGCCGGTTTCCACCCATAGACTGCCGTCGCATATATGCGACGGCTAGTCACATTAAAATAGACTGCCGACGCATATTTGCGTCGGGGTTCTAATGTTATTAAAATGCTTATATCTTTGTAGTGGTCTATTTGAAGGCACTGAATTCCCTACAGTGGTCTACAGGGATGTCTGACGCACAACTGCGTCGCTTGGTCTGTGGATATGATGATTGGTGACGTCATATAATAGATGGAAAAACTGGTCTTTACTTTTCTGCATCACTGTATGTCTGTATGCAGTATGTATGCTGCATTATCCTATGTAGCTTTTATATTTGTTCAGTTATAAACTGTTCTTGAATAATCCGTTCATTTTTTTACTTACTTTCACCTTAAAACACAAAAAAATTAACTGTCGCATATATGCGACGTTTAGTCTATTTCAAGAAAACTATGATAATTTTCACTATTGTCTTCACTGTAGACCGGGCGTCGCAAATATGCGACATTACTAAAGGTTATAAAAATACAAAAAAACAAGAATAATTTATTTACAAACACGATTGTAGCGTATTACAATGTAAATGATCACTGTTTTACAGGTTTTCGCCCGTGGTCTGTGTGTACTGTTATCCAAGTGACAGTCGGTCTATGTGTAAGATTCAAATGTATACCTCGGTCTGTGGCAATGACCGCGGCGTCGCATATATGCGACGCTCAGTAGCGAACGTGTTAACTCGTCTGATTTTAATGATCAAGAGCTCAAATGAAAGCCCTTACATTACTGAATATTTTAAGCCTAGAACGAACTACAAGCGTCAATAAGAACTGGAGATATAAGAAAAATAATTTTAAAACAATTATCAAACTACGAAACGTCCATAAGAAATGTATGGTGGAGAGTTTTCGTTTGAATATATCTTCTAAATGAATAAAGATATTTAAAAACGGATTTCGGCATTGAAATCAGTGTAAAAATGTAGTTGGTAATGATGTGTCACAACACTATCATTACATTGAAAATAAATTATCTATGTCCAATATGGCGGATCCAAGATGGCGGCCAAAAACATGTTTCCTATCAAAATGAAATACTAATCACCCAATAAATACAGGCGGTGGTCCCAAGTCATTATCTCGAAAAATGTGCATAACAAATGCATGTGAAATATGTTTTTTTAATTTGTCCAATGTTGGAAATAGCCGCCATTTTAAATTCTGATTTTAGTGGTTTTATCGTGCACCGATTTTTGACAACTTTTAGTATGTCATTCTGCAAACCCAACTCTACAAAATAAAACCATAAAACGTTTTCTTGCAATTTTTTTAACGATCCCTATGTAAGTTTGTTTAGTTTGCTTGGACTATACTGCAACTCTTTATACAGGGGATAATAAATGTATGTTGCCCTGTACAGAGCTTGTTATTTGCAATCAATTCCAAAGTATAAAAATTAAAAATCAACATTGGATATAAACTGCAATTTTGTGATGTTTACTTTGTTTTTTTTTCAGTTCAGACTCCTGGTTGAGCTGGTATGGCCGTTATTTTTATTCCTCATTCTTATGTGGGTGCGCAGACGAGGACTTCGAGTTAACATTCAAGAATGTAAGTTATTAGTAGCTAAGTGAGGTGGTTTACATAAGCCTTCAAATCAAATGCTATTTATTTATATATTTATATTTATAGTAAATACAGGGTGATTACAAATTGCACAGCAATCTCTTGAAATACAATTCTTCAGTTAAAAATATGAAAAAGGTCCACACACACACACACCACACATAGGTCCATAACACTTTTATTATTTAGTTATTCCCATCCAACCATTGTGCTCAAAATTTGGTTCTTTTGATTAAAATGAGGGTTTGCCACAGAAAATTGCAGAGTGAATGTAAATAACACATAAGTTTACGTTTTATACTAATTTTATTTAACCACATTTTTAAACTCAACATTTTACTCATTCATCTTCTACTCCAAAACTCATTATAACAAAATAATCCACATTATAACTCTTAACACACAAGCAGCTGTTATCAACTTAAATTAAATAGACCTAAAAAAAAAAACTAATTATGAACACAATATAAAAAATAAAAATAAAATCACATTTAACCCTTCCCGGGATGGCCTATAATATGGATACAGACATCAAAACTAATAAAAAAAATATCTTTTTTACAACTGTAATTTATAGAATGTTGTAAATAGTTGACCTATCGAACACTTGTGTCTAAAATATTTTTTTTATCTTCTAAAAAAAAATATATATTAAATTCTTTTATTCTTCTAGTAAAACATTCCTAGTACATCCTAGTAATATTCCTAGTAGTAGGTTAAAGATGATATAATTGAATAAAAGACCGTTTTTACGAAGATTAATGTTGTTATACATAATCAATGATAACAATAGATGTCGTAATAATCGGCGGATATATCCGCCTACCGTCCACGGAGCCAAAATAGATGGGCGGATATATCCTATGGTCCGGGAAGGGTTAACAGCCAAGAGGCTCACAAACGCTTTCTTATCAAAAGATTTTTGGTATTTGCATTCTTTTAGTCCCTATTATGAGTATCTTTTTTGTAGGTTTTTTTAATTAATCAATTACCGTGTGGGTAATCAGACAGATATTTTAGGCACATATATCTGAACTTTATTTTATTATTGGCCTTCAACCAAAATCCTTATTCCATTTCTTATCTCTAAAGTGGCCGCTACACTCACTCTACCCTACGGACAGAACTGAACACAGTATCTAATAAGTATTTTTTACTCGAAATACTCTAATTAAATTGGTTTACAATATAATTGCCAGGTTCTTGAAGATTGTGGATTTCTATGTTCGATGTACATTATGCCACAAGTGTGGCATCTTCAAGAGCAAAGTTTATCACATCACTTAAAACACAAATACTATTTTACTATGTACATTATCGGTAGGTGGACGATTTACGGCGCGGTTGTAGGAATCCGAGCGTGAGAGCACAAGCGTGGACCGGAGGCACTACATGTGTCTGTCACTATCTGACTGACTGGTTATTGTCCGTTTACTGGCTTGAGGTATGTTTGGTAGGTCAGGGGATGAGGTGAGTTTATGATGCTATTACAGCTTAGGGTCAATAACCAGTCAGTCAGATAGTGACACATGTAGTGCCTCCGTTCCTCGCACGTGCTCTTGCGCTCGGATTCCTACAGCCGACAGTAGATCGTCCACCTACCGATAATGTAAATAGTAAAACAGTGTTTGTGTTTTAAGTAATGTAATAAACTTTGCTCCGGAAGATGCCACACTTGGGGCAAAATGTACATCTAGCATAGAAATATACAATCTTCAGGAACTTGGCAACCATAAGGTAAACCAATTTAATTAATCATTCATTCTTGAAACTGGGAATAACAAACAAATTATTGATGTACACCTTCCTTACATTGTTGAGTTCTGGTTGATTTTTGTAGGCCATTTCACACCAAAAGCGATGCCGTCGGTCGGTCAGCTACCTTTCCTGCAGAGTTTCTTATGTTCCTTTAACAACACCTGCTACAAGTCAGATGAGGATGCTCAGATTGACGCCTCTAATCTGCGAAGTGCCAGGTGAGTCGATGGAGGCTGTGGGACTCATTCTAAAACCATTTGTATTTTTAGTTGGGTTTACAGAGGCTGCATAACTTATACAAAAGGCAGTTCTACATGTTCAGTAGAACCTCGATAAGAAGTGCCTCAATGTGATTAGTGAAACAGTCTAGTTATTCAAGGCATAAGATCAAGGTAATTTCGGCTAGCAGTCGTGTTAAAAAATGTAATGGAAGCACTGAACATCTTTATAATGAGTGCATTTCAGATCAACGCTTATGCTAACAAGTTTTTGAAATCAAAATTTATAGTGCAGTACTGCTGATATTGTGAAACAAACAAGTCAGGTCTTATTGGAGTTAACAAAAACCTTGCAAAACACGACTATTCTAGTTGCGCTGCCAGTTGAAGGGTTAATTTTTTTGAAATTTTGAATATTAATGGTGATTTTCCTATAAAAACCCATAAAATAACGGAGAAATCAGATTTTTGCAAAAAACGGCCCAAACAGTTTTGATATAAACATTCAGTATGTTGTATTTTTTTAATTTTTAACAACATGGTACAAACCCCATATCTGGAAAAATAAGGGTTCAAAAATTATTGTAACTTATGTTATTTTTCCATTAAATAACTGTAAAATAACAAAATAATTAATCGGATTTTAGAAAAAAAAACAAACAAAAAACGGGTTTGATGAAAATTAGTATGTTTTGGTCCTTTAAATCCTGAACAAGCTGTAACATTCCTTCCAGTAAACTGCTGAACGTTGTGCTCAGGCAGACCCCCCCATGACCAGGTAAAGCTAACCCTTCTTAATCTTTACAATTTAAATGTTCATATCATTAAAAGAATTAACTGAGCATTTTTTCACACTTTCAAGATTCAAGATCTTTATTTGTCATTAAGTAATACAAGTATTACAATAGACATCGTCAAAGTTTTGTTTAAATATTACATACAGTTAATTTCCTGTTAGAGTAGGCCTAACAGCAAGAATGCACCAAGTGAGTAGCAATCACTCTTTAAAATATAACTATTAACATAACTAACTCTAAAATAAATAAATTAACAATTTACATGTCAATGATCAAAAATAAAATCTGTTATTATAATAACAATAAAATCTTTAAATATAATAACAATTAAATATTTAAATATATTAATACTAGTGGAGCCCCGTCGAAATCGACGGTTAATCTTGAGGTTTTATGTAAATTCAGCTAACTGCGATGGATAGAGTGAAGTCATTAAAATCTTAGTTAAATGAAGGGAGGATAAGCAATAAAAGTATGACGATTGTGTTCCCTAAAAACCCTGATTGATGAATTCGTTTAACACAATATTTCCTACCATTTTATCGGCTTTAGGTTGCCTAAACGGGTTTTTAGGAGTCTTATAATTTCGTTCATGAGTTTGTTACATGCCAAAGCCACTTTCACTATGTGTGAGAATGAGTTCATCTATCATGTTACGGAAAGAGTAAATATTTATTACTAACCACTAATTCCATCTGCTTTAGGAAAATCATTCAGATTGTATCCGGATTTATAAGTAAATCTTCATCTTTGGTCATAAAAATGAAAAAAATTCTATCGGCATATTAAATTAGTGTTTTTTGTATATGATAAAAATATCTGATTCTCCAGAAAACAGTAACATTCTTACTTCGATCTCAGCAATTTTAATTCCTTCTCTTGCCACATCGACCCATGTATTTAATCATCCTATTCTTACTTGATAACTCATTGACTTATGGGGTAGTTTTGCCTTGGCCATATCGATCACATAAAGCTGTGCATGTACTTCGTGGATGGAATGAACCATAATTGTAGGAAATTTGATCACAAATTGCGGTACCAAATCCATAACCTAGTCCAGCCTTGGAAACAAATTATGCAAATGCGATGAGATGTGATGACACTGTTGTGTTTCCGAATGTTTTGTATGTAGTGGGGCTTAGATGCGTTGTTTGACCAAGCTACATGTGTAGGCTACGTCAAAGTAAAACCGTGTACACATTTTTTTATACCTGAATAGACATTAGTTCAACTACTTCACCAAAACCATAGATGAAACATACTCCGTAGTTAGTCTATTCCAAAACTTGAACACAGCTCTCATCCTCAACGTACTCATCTATGACACAATTTTCAACCCAATTATCAAAAACTTGTATGCCAATACAGTAAATGAATCTCTGGTGTTTTTTCTTGAATTTAAAAATATATGATGATTGAAAGTAGGAAAAAAGGCAAGTGCCAACCTTATAAGCTAACCCGATAGGAATACTTATATGTTCCTTTGAAATTTATATATCACACCTATTTTTCATAATTAAACATTTTTTAAGAGCAATAAAGCATAGATTTTTGAACAAAACATTTAAAACGTATCATAAATTCATAATTTTTTTGAAACTATAAAAAACTTGCCATGTAGTGGAGAATCCATTTAAAATCATAAATAACAATGTAAACATTCAATTTTGACAGTTTAAGTAGACCTTTGAATACAATTTTAATAAGAACAGCTGGTTCATTAAAAGTAGTGTAAAATTATCCATATGGTCATAATGTAAATACAATTGCTGAGTGAACTTTAAAGGCCTCTGGGGCAGAGCCCCAAGAAAATTTACCTCGTTTCTCTTTTGAGGGCTCACCTACAGACCAATACCTTTCTTTAGACACCCCTACCAAGTTTCTACACCCAGCCGTTCTCTCAAATTAGCTGTGACAAAAACCCCGTTTTCTTCCATAAGAATAACATGGGATGGGACTTTAAAGGCCACTGGGGCAGAGCCCCGAGGGAATTTACCACGTTTCTCTTTTGATGGCTCATCTACAGACCAAGACCTTTCTTTAGACACCCCTACCGAGTTTCTACAACCAGCCGTTCTCTCAAAATAGCTATGACAAAGAAAAACAGTTTCAAATTAATATATAGATTAACATTGATGTTTTAAAAACATAGGGAACTAATATCACAGGCCAGATAATCGTCTATGGAATAAAAAACATTTTCCTTAAGCCATTGTTTTATAAGAAACAAATTGTTTAAAGGGTACAATCCATGCCTTTTTTGGCAATTTATTGAATAGTTGTATCTTTATACATATGTGGCTGCTCTTTGTTTTTTCCAATCTTACAAAAGCTAAATCTAATTGATAGTTATTCCTAGTATAGTACCGATGAGTTTTGTTTCTAGTTGTAAAATTTTTCAAAGACTCCTTAACATCATTAGACAACAGTAAATATAGATTAGGCAAAGTCATTATTTGTAATTCTTTGAATATTGGTTTACAAGACTGTCTTTGTGGTATATTTTTGATTGCTCTCAGTGCCTTTTTTTGCCATCCAAGAGCAGTCCGTGCACTGCAAGAGGTTATACCATGCCCCATAAGGTTATTCCATATAGTAGATGGGAATGAAAAAAGCATAGTATGCAGTAATTAGCATATCTGCAGTAACACAGTGTCTTAGTTTTCTGAGAAGACAAACCACTCTGGCCAGTTTCTTACACAATTGCTCTAAGTGACTATCCCAACTTAGCCTGCTGTCTAAATATATGCCTAGCAATTTCACAGATTTAATGTCCTTATAAATAGAGTACCGGTAGTTAAGAGTAAAAATGATATTTTCTGTTTTCATGTTATTTACAATTAAATGATTAAATGATTGCGACTCCACTAGTGTAATATTCCAAAATATTTTCATGAGCATCTTGGTAGAATGGATATTGGATCTGTCTAAGGTGTTCCATTGACTGCAGGTTGCCACAGTTGGTTGACGAGTACGCACAGCTGTTTGAGAGCAGGATGGACCAGGAAGTAGCCATTAATGTGGTGAAAGACCTGGACAGGTTATCTAACTTGGTGCAAAATGTCGCTTCTCGCAGAGTGCAGCCTACAGGTATCACATCAAACTGTTGAGGAGTAGAATAATATAAATATCTTTTATTAATTTGCAAAAAGGGATGGGCCGGTGTTAAAAGTCTGTTGTCGGTTTCAATGGTTTTTAGCAAAAACCTAAACAAATAATATATGAAAAATATCTGTTTCGGTTTTATTTGTTATTGTGCCCTGCTTTGTTCCTATAGCATGATTGCGATGTCTTTGTGATCAAGGGGAATGTAGGTAAATGATTTTGCTGCGATTACAGGCAGTAATGATGATAGCTTTGCAAAAAATTCACGTCGCAGAAGACAGTGATGATGTCCTCAAGACTGCAGTTCATATTCCTGATTTTAGAAATGTGACCGCATAAACATTTTTGTACAGCAACTTATCAATCGAAAACAAAATTTTCCATCGATTCTTGGTATTTAACTTTTTTTTTACAGAAATTACGTTATAATATTTACATATTGTGTGATCTATAGATCTAAATAATTTTACAATGAATTTTTATTTTTATTGATGGTTGTAAAATGATGTAATACATTGAGTAATTTGTTATCATTACTATTATTATTAATATTATTGGTATTATTCCAATATAATCTGGGTTATAGAAGTATTCTGGATTTTTAATTATTGATATTGAGACCATTTAAAAAATGTAAAATGAGGACAGGACAAATAATATTTGAACAGTGTTTAGTTAGAGGTCTTTAACCCAATAAACTATTATCCTGAGGCAAATTAAAAGAGGATTTACTGTATATAAATCAATATTTCTTATTACAGAACATATTTATTATTTCCAGGCAGAGTAAGAATTCCAGAACTTCTCAACAACACTGGTTGGGTGAAGAGAGAAATATATCGACAAAACATATCCCTGCCTGAAGACTCTGTGAATTCCCTTCTTGGAGCTGACTTTGCTCCTCAAAATTTAAGCCTGGTTAGTTTGAGTAAAATCCTCCAAAATAGTAAAATATTTTAATTTCTAATTTCCAAAACAGTTTACTTTTGAGTTTTGATCATAATTGGTTGCGTATTATGTGGGCAAACAATGACCAAGTAATATTGTAGTAAGTAGATCTTAGATGTAAGATGCTGTTTTTTAATTTCGGATAAGACTAGTTCAAAACTCAGGGTGTCTACGCAACTGTAAATACGTAATCTGCGGGCATTATACAGGTTTTTTGTTCGGCGGCATAAATTTCCAAAAATAATATTGGAATTTTTTTTTAAATGTGGATGTTTTATTTCCCTTTAATATCCATCATAAGTTTGTTGATAATCTGAAGGAGAATTTCAATGCAGTAATTGTATATGGGTTTTACACAAGTAATAGCTTATAGAATGTACATACAAGTTTAGTTTAAGTTAAGCGGTGAGAAATATCTTATGGTAATTCTTTAATTATCGGCAGCAAAATATAGGAATTGTACGTTGGATTGTATCTTTTAAATACACAATAAAATTAACCAGATACATGTATAGCAAAAATATTTTTCTAATTGCAGGGCCTTGTGGGTCTTCTACAAAGTAATGTTTCTCAGCTGCTTTGCGAAAGTCAGCTGAAATTAGTTGCAAATGTGCCGTCTGCTGTTTTTGATCAGCTGTGTAAATTGCCAACAGAACAAGCAGAAGCTTTATACTCCATCTTCAGGCAATCTCTCACTGCGTCAGGAGTCTATGATGAGGTAAAACTGCATCAACAAGTAGGTACTCAATATTAGAAATCTTTGATTAGCTTTGATTCTAACTTAAAAATGATAAATTATAAAATAAACAATTTGGTATACTTCTGTTATACTGACCATATCAAGTACGTTAGGTTGAGCATCCAAAAATTTGAAATGAAACCTAACCTTATCCATCCTGGTGTGGTGGATATTTATTTAATAATTTTCCATATCATCGGATACACCATTTACTAAATATATGTGTTTTTAAGCACATGAGCAGAATGAATAGATAGATAGATGGATAAAAAAAATAACAAGATAAGTTACATAATGACCATAAAGACCATAATGACTGTTGGTTATAACAGAAAACCCCCGGTGTGTCACTATAACAAAATAGTAACATAATTGTTTTAAACTTGTATAAGCCTAAGTTGCTTAATTTTTTTTACTTTGTTTTGAGAATATTCTCTAACTTATAATAGAATAGCTATTTCTAAACTATTGATATTTTGGGAGCTGTTTATCAAACTTTAAATCAATACTAAGTACCAACACACGATGGGCGACTAGACTAGTAACTTTAGAAGTCTAGTTGAGTTGAATTTTGAAACAGCCACTCGAGTATCGAGTTAAGTCGTGTAGTAGTGATTCTTGGTCATGCCTTACTTGACCAGCTTACAAGTTCTAATCTATCACTTACATATTTTTAAATACTATACTTAAATAACAGTTTTTATTATCATATCTTTGTATTAAAGGGAAGAGAGAATTAATAAAACTTAAAAAAAGTCTTAGTTTATCAAATATTTTTACTCCCTACTCTACTCAACTGTCTTCAATAGTCTTATGTACTCGCCCAAACTTCTGAGTATAAAAAAATGCCCTACCTATACTAGGGTACTCACACACCCCCCCTACTACTAACCTTGTTAAATCTTAAGAGAGTGATGATCATTAATTTAGGGTCAATTAATCAAGGCACATATTTTCAGATTGTTAAATATGTAGAAAGTAATCTTAACGGAAATTTATCCTGGAGCGATTGGTTGGAGCTAAGAAATATCTCAACCCAAGTGTTGCGAGAATTCATCGCTGTAGAAAACTACACTCAAGCTGTTCGGTGAGTATCAGACTTTTATCATCATGTAACATACTGAGGAAGTGGATAAATATGGCAAGTGGAAATGTGCATAATGTATTAAGTCAGAAACTTAAAGGACTTTAAATTGTAACAATTTTTAGTCTTAAGACAATGAAGTGCTATTTTATGGTACAGAAGACTCCCTCTTATCCAGATACCTTTTAACCGGACTACACTCAGAAGAAATAAGATCTCTTTAACCGGACAATTTTTATCAGCACATCGGTTTAACCGGACTAGATCGGCAGGAAGTGGGCGGTACTGAAACGACTGCTCTCGTGGGAATGATTTGAGCCTAGTGATCACGTGTCTAAATACAATGCTCTCCTAAATTTAAGTCAACTACTGTATACAGTATGCATTTAAATGGTCCGTTTTAATGAGTCTTTGGGGATGTCGGTTTTAACCGGAAAACCCGTTATCCGGACTAGCCTCGGTCCCTAGGAGTCCGGATAAGAGGGAGTCTACTGTAGGACAAAAAATATTTTATTGCCTTCATATTTCGCCTTTATATTTTATGATAAAAGATTTTACCACAAAATATGTGAAACTGTTACAAAGTAATAAATCAATAAATGTTTATTTAAAAAAAAGTTATATGTCATATAAACTAATTAATCTTTGTTTTCATATTTTATAAGTACATTAGAGAGTTGATTATCCAAAAAAGTGTTAGATTGGCGTTTTTTGGATAACAGAATTTTTCGTATGGCTGGTAATTAAGGGTAAAAAAATACAATATTTTTACTTCGATTGATAAAATTAAAACTTTTTTACTTGGTTATATGTAATTTTTACTGACTTCAATTGTCTCATGCGGTTGTAGCAACATCCATGAGATTTACTGTCTTGGTGACTCAAGTCATAAACTCTCATGATTGGGGCAACACCCATACGCATTTCTTGCGGTGATTAGCCTTTCAGGTAACCAACGTCAGTCAACCAACGTTTCGGATGACTGAGCATCGGATTTTCATCGCTGTACTGAAAATGTATTTACATATTTTACCAACCTGACGTATTTTTATTTAATTTTCATTTGTATATACAGTGTAATAAATGAAATGTGACATCATTCATTCTTTTAATATAATTGAATAAAGGGGGTTATAATGAATATTTTCATTAAAATGGTTCTAATTACGATTTATTGGTGTATCTAGGGAGATGTCAGCGTTGAGTATGGAGTTCACAGAACTAAGTAGTCAGATGACTGCAGCAAACATTTCACAGACGGACCAAGCAATTGTCATGTTCAACAGATTCTTCTGTGGAAACCATTCAGGCGACCTTATAGGCCAAATGCTCAGTGCCGCTAGTAAACCTACCCAGTGAGTATAGACCAAGCCGCTAGTAAACCTACCCAGTGAGTATAGACCAACTGCTTAGTGCCGCTAGTAAAGCTACCCAGTGAGTATAGGCCAACTGCTCAGTGCCGCTAGTAAACCTACCCAGTGAGTATAGGCCAACTGCTCAGTGCCACTAGTAAACCTACCCAGTGAGTATAGGCCAACTGCTCAGTGTCGCTAGTAAACCTACCCAGTGAGTATAGACCAACTGCTCAGTGCGGCTAGTAAACCTACCCAGTGAATACAGACCAAATGCTCAGTGCCGCTAGTAAACCTACCCAGTGAGTATAGACCAACTGCTCAGTGCCGCTAGTGAACCTACCCAGTGAGTATAGACCAACTGCTCAGTGCGGCTAGTAAACCTACCCAGTAAGTATAGACCAACTGCTCAGTGCGGCAAGTAAACCTACCCAGTGAATATAAACCAACTGCTCAGTGCCGCTAGTAAACCTACCCAGGGAGTATAGACCAACTGCTCAGTTTCGCTAGTAAACCTACCCAGTGAGTATAGGCCAAGTGCTCAGTGCCGCTAGTAAACCTACCCACCGAGTATAGACCAACTGCTCAGTGCCGCTAGTAAACCTACCCAGTGAGTATAGACCAAGCCGCTAGTAAACCTACCCAGTGAGTATAGACCAACTGCTTAGTGCCGCTAGTAAAGCTACCCAGTGAGTATAGGCCAACTGCTCAGTGCCGCTAGTAAACCTACCCAGTGAGTATAGGCCAACTGCTCAGTGCCACTAGTAAACCTACCCAGTGAGTATAGACCAAGCCGCTAGTAAACCTACCCAGTGAGTATAGACCAACTGCTTAGTGCCGCTAGTAAAGCTACTTTTGATAATGCTTCAAGATCTCACTAAAGAACTTAGGAAAGTAAACCTAACCTTAAATCAAAATGTATCCCCAGTGACTCCTTGCTCAGACTCAGAAATCTGCACAAATAGGTCATTTTCAGATGCTCTTAAGTCCGTTGCGTCAAAGGAAAGGGATTTATTTGACCAGAAAAACAGTGTGCGCGGTTCCGCAAGTCTTTCGTCAAGTGTTGATGTTGTCTCTTGCCCCAAGCCTAAGCCTCAGGCTAATTCAAAAATAATCTGCAAAGATAACGTGCGTAAACCTAGGCCTGACTGTGATAGTGATGGTTTCACCAGTGTTGTTTACAATAGGACAAAATCTCCCAAGTCTGTTGCTAGAAAGTCTGTTAGGCCTACCCGAGGCAAACCAAATAATAAAACTATGCTTATTTCTGGAAGCTGTAATACCAACAGACTTTCAGCAGCGAGTAGGCAAACCTGGGTTTATGTAACCCGGTTTGAGTCTTCAACTTCTGTTGACGACATTAAATCCCACCTGCTGTCTAGTTTCGCCAATAATAACTTTGTCATTGATAAGCTTGAGACTAGGCACAACTCATACGCTTCTTTTAAAATAGGGGTCCCTTTTGAACTGGAAAGTGAGGTTATGAAAGCCGAACTGTGGCCTGTGGGTATTCTCATTGGTAAATACTTCCCCTCTCGTCCTCGTCAAAACGGGGATGGTGTCCGTAATGTTGAAACCAATGGTTTTTTAGTGGATCCAGTGACCCAAAAAATAGACAGTTAAATATGGACAGTACACCAATATACGTAAGTAAGCCTAGGCCTAAGCCTATTACAACCTACTGTGTGCTTTCTCTTCTTTTTTTAAACATACAGGGACTTGGTGATAAGCAACCTTTGCTGGAGGAATTCACATTATTCCAGCAGTGTGACTTGGTGTGCCTCTCGGAACACTGGGTCCCAACATCAGGTAATGACTTTTTAACCTTGAACGGCTACTACCTCGTAAGTAATTTTTCAAGGTCTACCAGTGCCAGAGGTGGAACTCTAATTTTTGCTCGTGCTAATTTGAATTGTAGAACTTTGGACATCTCAGAATTTTGCATTGAAAAATCTATTGAAGCATGTGCAACAATAATTGATTCCCATAAGCTAATAGTAATTTCTATTTATCGCACTCCTGACAGTAATGAGTGGATATTTCTAGAACAGCTGGAGAAAATTTTACTTTTGGTTTTTAAATGGGATAAACATAAAGTGGTCATTGGAGGTGATGTGAATGCGCAATTTGATGTGAATTCAGACAAGAGGTCAGTTACTGAGCTACTCAACTTGCTTAGACAATTCGACATCTACCACCATAATGTGCTTCCAACTCGTAACAACGCCTGTCTCGACAATGTTTTTTCTAATGTTAAGAAGGATGATGTGTTTTGTGCTGTGGAAAACTTTCACTTCTCCGACCACAGTGGCCTCCTTTTTCGAATTGTATCCAACAGTTCTGATGAGCCTAATAAGATTTCTAACACTTTCACCTCAAAAAGATTTTTTTCTATAAACAACATGGAAATTTTTAAATTCAAACTTAGCACGATCAATTGGCAACACATATTTGAAACTTTGGATTGGCAACAACATGATTACACAGGTAACATTTTCACAATTTTCTTTGATAATTTATTGCATGTGTTTGATGAGTGCTTCCCTCTTCATAAGTCCCGTTCTAGGCCTAAACCACCTAAGAAAATCAACCACACCTGGTACACATCAGATCTTTCTAGGCCCAGAGAACAGGTAACATGTGCATACGATAGTTATAAGATATTTAATAATGATCTATGTAAATTAGTATATAAGAATATTAAGTCGGAGTATAGGAAAGCAGTCAGAGAAGCAAAACTCAAATACAATGCCAGTTTAATTGACAGTTCGGACAATAAATGCAAAGCCGCCTGGGCTCTTATCAAACAAAATTCTCAATCGAACTGTAAAACAAACAATGTCCCCATTGACCCAGATATCCTCAATAGTTTTTTTATTAATTCTGTAGCTGATATTAGAAACAGCATTAAGAAACCTACCAACTCTTATGACCAATTTTTAACCAACATGACTCGTAAGAATCTCTCTTTCAGTTTCTCACCAGTTAGTTGTGTTGAAGTTGCTTCGATTATATCCAATATGAAGAACACCAAAACCCAAGACTATTATGGGTTTTCTAACTGGCTAATAAAAGAAGTTGCTGAACATATTGTAGTGCCTTTAACCCACTGTATAAATGTCTGTCTTTGGGAAGGGGTTTTTCCAGAGGGTTTAAAAATTTCTAAAATTTGTCCAATCTTCAAAAAAGGGGAAAGAGACAGCCCAAGCAGCTATCGGCCAATATGTCTAGTACCTGTACTGTCCAAGGTGCTAGAACATGTAGTATACAATCAGCTGACTAACTTTTTTGAATTAAACTCACTTTTCAACAAACATCAATTTGGATTTAGAAGTGGACAGTCCACTATGGATGCAATAGGTTCCATGGTTCATGACATATTGAACGCTTTTGAACAAAAAGAATATGCCTGGGCGACCTTCATTGATCTCAGCAAAGCGTTTGACTGTGTCGACCATGATGTCCTGCTCCATAAGTTGGAATTTTATGGTGTTCAAATTAATGCTTTAAAACTGCTGAAGACATATCTTTGTAACCGAAGACAGATGGTTTTCAGTGGGGGTCGGTGGTCCGCAGTTGCCTTAAGCAACTGTGGGGTACCACAAGGCTCTGTCTTGGGCCCTCTGCTATTCTTAATCTCTATAAATGATCTTCCATCCAGTCTCAAATGTAACACATACCTTTATGCTGATGACACAACTTTGCTTACACACAGCAGAGATTTAGAATCTCTTGAGCTTGAGGCAAAAAACTCAGTAAAGGTAGCAGCAGAATGGTTCTCTGCGAATAGCTTTCTGTTAAACGATGAAAAAACCCAAACTGTTGTCTTTGGACTTCGTAAAATTCCTGAAGCACAATGTGATAAGGTCAAAGTTGTTAAGTTTTTGGGTGTTTATGTGGATCAACTCCTGTCATGGTCATATCATGTTGAACATCTCTGTACTAAACTAAGTAGATTGACATTTCTTTTTAGAAAACTCAATGATGTTGTTCCTTTTGACTATATAAAAACTGCCTATTTTGCACTTTTCCAATCAGCTCTTAATTATGGAATAATCTTTTGGGGCAGCAGCCCTTACATCACTGATGTTCTTTTAATACAAAAAAAGGTGATCAGGATCATGGCAAATGCCAATCACAAGGAACACTGTAGACCAATTTTTGTAGATTTTAAGATTTTGACCGTTGTTAATTTATTTTTATATAACATTTTGTTGATTAGTTTTAAGAACCTGAAATCCCACACTCTTAGGGGTGATGTACACAAGTTTAATACTAGGAATAGAGGTAAAATTGACATCCCTTATGTTAGACTTGAAAAAATGAAATCTTATTATGAAGTACTGGGACTCAAATGCCTAAATAAACTCCCCAAGGAAATACTGTTATTGAACAACAAAGCCTTCAAAAATAAAATTCTTCTGTGGCTGACTGTACACCCTTTTTATGGGCTGGGAGAATTTTTTGAATGTTCAACCAAAGAACTCATAATCTAGTCACTGCCTTGTTCTAAGTATTTTTTTTTTCTCACTAAATTATATCTTGTTATCTATTTTTTCTGTAAGTATACCGTAGTCTTCACCGTGCCATCTAAATGACCTTTGTATCTATTTGATTTTTTTGTTTATGCCTTATTTGTTATGTACTGTAATTTATCTTTGACTTGTGTTTTTGCAGCATGTATTCAACTTTTTTGACGTATCCTAATGCATGTACATGTCTAATGGAATAAAATATTGATTCTTGATTCTTGATTCTTGATTCTACCCAGTGAGTATAGGCCAACTGCTCAGTGCCGCTAGTAAACCTACCCAGTGAGTATAGGCCAACTGCTCAGTGCCACTAGTAAACCTACCCAGTGAGTATAGGCCAACTGCTCAGTGTCGCTAGTAAACCTACCCAGTGAGTATAGACCAACTGCTCAGTGCGGCTAGTAAACCTACCCAGTGAATACAGACCAAATGCTCAGTGCCGCTAGTAAACCTACCCAGTGAGTATAGACCAACTGCTCAGTGCCGCTCGTGAACCTACCCAGTGAGTATAGACCAACTGCTCAGTGCGGCTAGTAAACCTACCCAGTGAGTATAGACCAACTGCTCAGTGCCACAGTATACCTACCCAGTGAGTATAGACCAACTGCTCAGTGCGGCAAGTAAACCTACCCAGTGAATATAGACCAACTGCTCAGTGCCGCTAGTAAACCTACCCAGGGAGTATAGACCAACTGCTCAGTTTCGCTAGTAAACCTACCCAGTGAGTATAGGCCAAGTGCTCAGTGCCGCTAGTAAACCTACCCACCGAGTATAGACCAACTGCTCAGTGCCGCTAGTAAACCTACCCAGTGAGTATAGACCAACTGCTCAGTGTCGCTAGTAAACCTACCCAGTGAGTATAGGCCAACTACTTAGTGCTGCTAGTAAACCTACCCAGTGAGTATAGACCAACTGCTCAGTGCGGCTAGTAAACCTACCCAGTGAACATAGACCAACTGCTCAGTGCCGCTAGTAAACCTACCCAGTGAGTATAGACCAACTGCTCAGTGCGGCTAGTAAACCTACCCAGTGAATACAGACCAAATGCTCAGTGCCGCTAGTAAACCTACCCAGTGAGTATAGACCAACTGCTCAGTGCTGCTAGTGAACCTACCCAGTGAGTATAGACCAACTGCTCAGTGCGGCTAGTAAACCTACCCAGTGAGTATAGACCAACTGCTCAGTGCCACAGTATACCTACCCAGTGAGGATAGACCAACTGCTCAGTGCGGCAAGTAAACCTACCCAGTGAATATAGACCAACTGCTCAGTGCCGCTAGTAAACCTACCCAGGGAGTATAGACCAACTGCTCAGTTTCGCTAGTAAACCTACCCAGTGAGTATAGGCCAAGTGCTCAGTGCCGCTAGTAAACCTACCCACCGAGTATAGACCAACTGCTCAGTGCCGCTAGTAAACCTACCCAGTGAGTATAAGCCAACTGCTCAGTGTCGCTAGTAAACCTACCCAGTGAGTATAGGCCAACTACTCAGTGCTGCTAGTAAACCTACCCAGTGAGTATAGACCAACTGCTCAGTGCGGCTAGTAAACCTACCCAGTGAACATAGACCAACTGCTCAGTGCCGCTAGTAAACCTACCCAGTGAGTATAGACCAACTGCTCAGTTTCGCTAGTAAACCTACCCAGTGAGTATTGACCAACTGCTCAGTGCGGCTAGTAAACCTACCCAGTGAACATAGACCAACTGCTCAGTGCCGCTAGTAAACCTACCCAGTGAGTATAGACCAACTACTTAGTGCTGCTAGTAAACCTACCCAGTGAGTATTGACCAACTGCTCAGTGCGGCTAGTAAACCTACCCAGTGAACATAGACCAACTGCTCAGTGCCGCTAGTAAACCTACCCAGTGAGTATAGACCAACTGCTCAGTTTCGCTAGTAAACCTACCCAGTGAGTATAGACCAACTGCTCAGTGCCGCTAGTAAACCTACCCAGTGAGTATAGGCCAACTGCTCAGTGCCGCTAGTAAACCTACCCAGTGAGTATAGGCCAACTGCTCAGTGCCGCTAGTAAACCTACCCAGTGAGTATAGACCAACTGCTCAGTATCGCTAGTAAACCTACCCAGTGAGTATAAACCAACTGCTCAGTGTCGTTAGTAAACCTACACAGTGAGTATAAGCCAACTGCTCAGTGCCGCTAGTAAACCTACCCAGTGAGTATAGATCAACTGCTCAGTGCCGCTAGTAAACCTACCCAGTGAGTATAGACCAACTGCTCAGTGCCGCTAGTAAACCTACCCAGTGAGTATAAGCCAACTGCTCAGTGCCGCTAGTAAACCTACCCAGTGAGTATAGATCAACTGCTCAGTGCCGCTAGTAAACCTACCCAATGAGTATAGACCAACTGCTCAGTGCCGCTAGTAAACCTACCCAGTGAGTATAGACCAACTGCTCAGTCTCGCTAGTAAACCTACCCAGTGAGTATAGGCGAACTGCTCAGTGCCGCTAGTAAACCTACCCAGCGAGTATAGACCAACTGCTCAGTGCCGCTAGTAAACCTACCCAGTGAGTATAGACCAACTGCTCAGTGTCGCTAGTAAACCTACCCAGTGAGTATAAGCCAACTGCTCAGTGCCGCTAGTAAACCTACCCAGTGAGTATAGATCAACTGCTCAGTGCCGCTAGTAAACCTACCCAGTGAGTATAGACCAACTGCTCAGTGTCGCTAGTAAACCTACCCAGTGAGTATAAGCCAACTGCTCAGTGCCGCTAGTAAACCTACCCAGTGAGTATAGATCAACTGCTCAGTGCCGCTAGTAAACCTACCCAGTGAGTATAGACCAACTGCTCAGTGCCGCTAGTATACCTACCTAGTGAGTATAGACCAACTGCTCAGTGCCGCTAGTAAACCTACCCAGGGAGTTTTTTGTTGTTTGATGTACAAAGCTATACTGTGTACTATTGTCACAAAGAAATATATTATTTCTGGTAAGGCTCGTGAACAGGTCACGTTGTGTCATAATACTGGATCTGCTACTAAACTTCTAAATCAACACTATTTTCAGTTACTTTAACAGAGAAGAAAGGTACAGAGAAAACATACGTGCACGTTAGGGCAATATGATTGTGATGAGTGAAGAAGAGCCCAAGTGGCGAGCACTGTTTGGAGGTTCCCATTGCATAGGAAAGAGTAGAGGGTCATCCTCCAGCATGAGTGTTGTAGTGCGTGATGGCAGGGGGAGGGGAAAGGAGTGTGAGAAGGTTTAGGAGAAGCGTGTGTTAGACAATGCCTTAGACACCAGCGACTAATGCTGCACACCACTTAAGTGCACCATTGAATGATTCCTCTCTATCTTCCTTCTCTATAGTTACTTACACATAATTATTTACTTCTCATTCATGATCACTTGAAAAATCATTTTTGAGCGTTAAAACATTTAATGCAACATCCAATATCCAACTCTATCAGTACCTATAGATATATTGTTACAGGCCTGCATTTGTAAAGTTTGTGAAAGCATCAGGTAGCGTTGATTTGATTTTACTGCTGATACTTGAAACACATATTGATTCAGACATGTCAAGATTCTGATTATGCTTGTGCAATTTTGTTAAAGATTTACTCTTTTAACTTTTCTCAATCCTACCCACTTGATGTTTGAGTTTGAGATAATGCTTTAAACTGAGCAGTATTGATTGTAGATAACGGTGATGACAATTAAGTGTTTCAACTACTTTACAAGTGGTTCATCTTAAAAATTCAGCTTGCATGACTAAATGTGATAACCCACTTTGGCTAGATTGTTATTATCTTGTTCTTTATTGGTAATTGCATTTAAAACATAGTTCTAAAAACAAAATGAATTAATGATATTTATTGGCACATTATGTACAAGGTTCACATTTTGTTTGTAGAAGTGATTAATCATAATAATTCATTTATCTTTATAAGGAGTAATAAAATACAATAAACCAGATTTAAAAGGATAGAAAAAGGCCTGGACGTAATAAGAAGAGGTTGAAAGATGAAGTAACCTAAGCCAATGATGAGCAAATATTAATAACCAATTAATATGTTCAACCTACTGTCGTGATATGCCTATTCGGTTTATAGTTTTAAAACATTAATGTTTCTTTTAAAATAAAATATGATAGCTGAGCTGTCGCCAAACAAAATGTTTTGGTTATTATGGACCACCCATTACTTGGAAATAAATTGACTTGGTTTTGTGAGAACTTGGTTTTGTTTAATGATCACATTTTCATTGGCTTTTCGATGACTTGGGGTTGTGAGAGGTTGTATTAAAAATATCTTGGTGTTATGATCACTTGGGCTCATATTTATTGGTTATTGGTTGATAAGTATTGGTATTGGTTGGTAAATTTACTTGGGGTTATAGGATTATCCTACCTGCAGTGACTCTGAGGGAAATTTTTGAGCCCACCATGGTTATGAAATAAATGGCCATTTGAGTAAGAGTAAAATTAAGGGTTGTAATTTGTCTTAAGGTTTGACGACTTGCGCGAACAGCTGCGTGACTCAACAATGACCCAGCAGCAATACGAGTACGACAACACTACAACACCAGCTTGCAACTGGCTGTTCCAACAGATAGAATCCTCCCCACCCATGCAGGCGTTGTGGCGCATGATCAAACCATACATAAGGTCAGTGTAAGTAAAATGATTTTGAAGAGAAAAACTGCTTTGGAAGTGAACATCTAATAAATTACAATTTCTAGGAAATATCATAAATGTATTGAATTTCCGTTTCCATTTGATTTATTTATTCGTAGATAAAGTCTTGGCCTCTCCTCTTTTTAGAGTTTTGTTCTGAAAATCAATGGAGAGTTAATATTATAGTAGCCTATTTCTTATTGTAAAATTGTCTTTCTAAATAATTTCTACTAGGCGAAACCCGTCGAAATTGTCGGTTACTTTCAAGGCTTACGCTAATTCATCTAACCGCGATAAATTGAGTGAAATTATACATATTTTGAGCATTTAGCATTGTTTTTTGTTTAAAGAGTAATAAGTGTAAAAACAATAATGATATTAATTGCGTTAGTTACAAAAAATGGTTGATCATTTAACGAATAAAATATTTTCCATACCGTATGTCATCGGAGTTATTATTAGTATGTTATCTGGTATCTCTTCCTTTGGAAGATTCTTTAAATAGTATTAAAATTGTATTGGTGGATCTTTTGTAGTTAAACACTTCCGTGATTTCATCAGTGTAATGCAAATTAATCTATGATTTTATAAAAAAAATATCTGTTTGTTGGGAAGACATGCTCTAACTTCAAAGGGAGGTATATCCGTTACAGTGTAAGTTTGATTTTTCCTTCGTCACGTCGGGTCAGTTCATATCGTACTTCTGTGCCAATGAACAACCCTCTATCACAGTTTTGAGAAATTGGTTGTGGGGTTACTGTTAACGCTAGAATTTATTGACATGGGGGATGTCAGTTAGTTGTCTCAGCCTTATCAATTACCTACATAAAGTTGTTAATATAATCTCTCTACGGAATGTTAGGTGTAGTGGAATATACTTGAAGTGAAGTTGGCTTTTATTCTTAAAGATTCAAAAGATTCAAAAGCTTTATTCGCCATTCAATACAAAATGTACAATAGGCTTTGTCTCATACATTAAATAACTTAACTGCTAAAATAAATAAATAAAATCATTCCAAATAATAAATTACAAAATGCAAACTCACACAGCAAACCATGGTACAACAACCAAGCACAAATCAATCACAACAAACAAATCAGCAAGCCAAGCAAAACAAAATTAGCAAACTTACATACCAGGTGAAATGGGCTTAGCCCTTATAGCCTCAAAGAAATCTTCAATTTTGTACAGAGGATTTAATACCAACCATTTTCTTATGACCGTACAAAATTTAGAGGTACACAAGGAACGTAGGCTATTAAAAAATTTTATGCCTGAAACAGGAAAACAATTCTGAGTCAAACTTAGCCTATGACTAGTCAAATGTATGCTATTGGAGCTTCTTGTATCATGTGTGTGTACCTCCTTATTTAAAACAAAGCTAGACTCCTCAGACTTGATGACAATTAAACATTGATAAATATACACATTAATGACTGTCATAATCTGCAACTGAACAAACAATGGCTTACAGTGAGCATAATAGTGTGCCCCACATATAACTCACACTGCCTTTTTTTGCCATATCAGGATTCTCTGAACATGAGGGGAGTGACCCCAGAGCCTTGTCCCATACAAAATGTGGGACTGGAAAAAAGAGAAGAAAGCGAGTCTCACAAAATTAAGGGGAACTTCACACATGAGCCTCCTAAGCAAATGAGTGACTCTACTAAGTTTTACGCAAAGGGCATCGATGTGATCACTCCACCCAAGCTCAGAGTCCAAAGTGAAACCCAACAACTTTACTGTGTTAACCTCATGAACTTTCTTGCTTAGGCTAAACAATATTCCTTGTGTTTTTCCCTCATTAAGTGCTAGCTTATTACCAGAAAACCAATCTGAGGCTGCATTAAACAGCCCATCAACATTATTACATGCAATATAAAGATCAGGATGGTTCATAAACAAAGTAGTGTCATCCGCATACAACAACATGTCATGAGAAACACAATGATACAGATCATTCATGGCAACAATGAAAAGGAAGGGCCCCAACACTGAGCCCTGCAGGACTCCACATCTGACCTCAATGGCACTCGAGTTGCTACCATTCCAACTTACAATCTGATATCTATTGTCTAGATAAGACTGCACCACCTTAGGGCATTCCCTCCAATGCCATACTTCTTAAATTTCTCAATTAAGTTGTCATGAGGAACAGAGTCAAACGCACGAGATAAATCGCACAAAAGAACAGCAGTTGACGACTTGCTCTCAAAAGCTTCCAAGATTACTTGAAGGAGAGAATCCACAGCTGTAACTGTGGACCTTCCCCTCCGAAAACCATGTTGAATAGAGGCAAGGAGGTTATTCCCCTCAAAGTGGTCACAGAGCTGATTCAACATGATCACCTTAAATACCTTACCAAACACCGGTATTAAAGACACCGGTCTAAAACTCTCCATTACATCCCTAGGGCCCTTCTTGTATACTGGCACTGTTCTAGATACATTCAGTACATCAGGAAAAACACCCTGCAGAAGGCAGGAGCTAAACAGATGGGCCAAGATTGGAGCAATCAAAATAACAATCCTTTTCATAAAATTAGACGACATATCATAAATATCCTTACTATTAGAGGATTTAAAGCTATTTACAGTATTTACAATATCTAAGGCATTCACCATTCTCCACTGGAAATTTACATGGGCCAATGGAATGCTATCTATGTAATTAAACTCATTCACAGGAATCCCACTTACAATATCAGCCACCGAATCTACAAAAAAGTGGTTGAATTCCTCAGCAGAAGCAAACTTGCCATCAACACCCAAGGAACCAGCTAGGGGTGTGCGATGCATCGAAAATGCATCGAAATTTCGATTCGATTCGATGCATCGAAATCACGATGCATCGATTTGGCCTCGATGCATCGAAAAAGACCGATGCATCGGTTAGCTCCCGATGCAACGATTACGTCCCGATGCATATTTAAAACTAATTCAGGACTCCAAAATGAGTTTTAGATAGGGAAGTGTCAATTATCGCTACCACCGATACTCGGACATTGCCGATACTAGGAATATCGGTATCAAGAATCGATTGCCAAACATCGATTTCGCCCGATTCCGCCGATACCGACAGCCGACAGGGATGGATAGATATTTTATTTTAACATTTATTTATTTGATATCTATTAGTTTTGTAATCACGCTAACAACTTTAGTAACCAACTTAGCACACTATTTAGTTCAAAACAGCTAAAGTTTATTTTCAGCTGTTCTCTCTGCAGGCAGATGATATTGCACAACACAATACAATCTACATTTCAAGATGTCAGACTCAGTCAGAATTCAGTCTCAGACAACCGGCGCGCGATTGTCCTCAACACGAAATTATACTAAAAAATGTCTGTATCAATAAGTCAGACCTTTAGTATTATTTTTATTTTTAGAACAAAATAAATAACTTTGTCTAAATGTTCAGTTTCATCCCTGCGTTACGCATCATTAGAAAAATATTCAATTACAACATCGAAGTCAGAGGGTTAGGCTTGCACTTGCCTATTGCACTTAAAAGTAGATCCATATTATATCTGTACTATCTACCTAGTTTAAGAGTTTAAGTGAAGTTTTAAGTGCTACTATAACATAAGTTTTGATTGAAAAACACCATACGCATAGTCCATGTCGATTTTGTAATAGTATAATGAATGGTAAATGTTGACCATCTAAGATAAATCAAAGTATGTAACAAGAGTTCTCATTGGTCGAGAGGCCACGCTGCACTGTCATGTCAGCCAATCGACGTTCGTGTTTCAATGGAGCAAGTGACGATTGCTAAGATACATTGATAAGTATCAAGAACCGTTGACGTGTTTGTTTGTAAAGAGTATAAAATTAGGTTAAAGTTTAAAACGGTGTGATTTTCTTTTGTCTTACAAAGACCTAGATTTGACAATAAGGTTATAAACGAGTATTGTCGTGTCGTTGTTCATTGTTTGTTTACTTTTTCAGATTCCCTATCAAACGCCCTTATCTGCTATCTCTCTCTCCCCCCCCCCCTCTCGGCCCTCTCTCTCTAACGATGTACTGATTAGATTGTGGTTGACGACTTTTCTACTTAAGATTCCCTGTGGTTATTTTAGTTCAATCAATCCCATGACCTTTCTATCGTTTATAAAAATAATTAATTAATCTGTTCTGTATTTTATTTCCTCCAACCCCTATTTACCATCTGTATTTTATAGAATAAAATGTTTGTTTATAAAGTTTGACTGGCCACACAATTTTGTACCTATTTTATTTTGTATAAAGTAACAGATACTTTGATGATTATATATACAGTATATATATATATATATATAACAATAAGTGCTGCGTGCTGTAATGAATGCTTTTTATTATCAAAATAAGTAATCAATTATAAATTTTTGATAATACATGGGTCATTGAATAGGTACCATAATGTCATGTAGTTTCCTATTTGTAACTTGCAAATAATAATAATTGATAGTTAATTCTGGAAAATGAAAAATAGTGAACACATTCATAAACCTGTTGTCAAAACAGCAACGCAGGTGTAAGGGTTTATTGTTTCAGAGGCTAGGGTGTTTCAAGGACAAAGTGTTGGGCCTCTCGTCTTAGGGGGGGGGGGGTGGTGGTTAGAGGGGGAGGAAACTGGTTTTGGCTATTTATTGATTAGTTCACCGACCCTTCTAGACAACAAAATTGAGTGACTGACAGTGTTAAATCACGTGTTCTGTATTTAATTTGTTGTTTACTTTGTTTGTTATTCTATTAATTTTAGTGTTTTGTTTTATTTCCTCCTGGTCCCTTGCAAATTGTATTATCAATGCTAAATAATTGTGGTTAATTCAAATTCTATTTTTGATTATTCAAATCTCCTATACAAAAAGACAAAAGTCAAACAAGGCAAGGAAAAAACCTGCTATTGTAATCCCCGTACCCAGCCTCAGCCATTTGGGAAATGGTGAAAGTCTAGTCTAAATATAGCTCAAAAGTCTCACCCTTCCCTTCCCCCCCCCCTT